CTAGCAAGTGGGCGTACATACTCAACTACATGTTGCTCTAATTGATGTCTAAATATTAGCTTTGATTAAATAATGTGGCTCTGGAATGTTGCACTATATTGGCATTAGATTATGACAAGTCACTCTTAGATACAAACTCTACCAAAATTTTCAGGAAACATATACCTAATCTAAATTTTACTGTTTTGAAATGAATAGAAAGTGAAATGTCCATATTTATTGAAATGTAACATTCTTCAAAGATTTAATTTTCAATTTTTTAAAATAAGATAGCCAACTTCGTACCTAGTTTTAATGTTGCTATTTCATTATGGTTTCAATTTTTGTTTGTTTTATATTCATGCTGGTGTTCCACCTTTTTTTCATCTTACTTGTCATACATATATCCAACATATTACATAATTAATTTAAATATATATTACATTCACAGAGCTAAAGTGGATGTAACTTCATGGAAAAATCATATTCCCAAAAATCTATAATATCATTGAATGATTTCCTGAAAATTTGATTATTTTCTACTTTGTTAATATTATATCAAATCTGACTTCATTCAAAAATCATTAGAAATGACAGGTAAGTTTGTTAAGGTAAATGTCTTACAAAATTTGTTAATGGTCAATTGTAATAATGCATCACCCAAAAAGTTATATCAACTAGAGTAACATAACAGTTGAATAATTCTAAATAATTTAAATTAATCTGGTTTCCAGGTACTAGTATCAACATAAGACTTGTATTTCGAGAATGAAATAAAATAAAGTGATATATAAAATGAAAGATGAGCATGTTGCATAAATAAAAATGAAGATATTCATCAACAATATATGGGAAGATAAATAAAATTTAAAATCACAATTTACAAACTTATTACATTACACTAAATTATTGAATGATCAGTTTGAGTACTCTCTTTTGAACAAAAAATTATTGACACCAACAACTTTGAATGAGAAAATGAAATAAATAACTGAATTTGAAACTATCAATTTATAATGTCATAACCAACAATTCAACTAGTAGTTTCTGAAAAATTTAAAAGACACAGAATGAAACTCAGTACATTACAAAGAATACTCAAATTGATCATAAAAATCAAACGAATAAAGGCTACTGCTCGAGCCTATTAACCGTTTCTTCTAATAAGTCATTACTCGTTTGTAATTGAACAGGAATATTTTTGCTATTACATTTTACTATACCTTCCAATATTTCATCAAAACTAAGAACAGCTTTGCTGTCTTCTGGCATGATCAGATCAGCATCTGATGTGGTCGGGGCTATAACATTCACATCTTCATCGCTTAAAGCAGTTGCGTCACAAGAAAGTTTTTCTAGTTCGTACATACAAACCAAGTTTTGTGCTTCTTCAGTGTCCTTCTGTTCTTCATCCTTATTATCGGGTGTACTTTCTCTCTTCTTGTCATTTTTCTTCTTTTTAACATATGTCCTCTCCACTTTGAGGCCCATTTGTTCGAGCCTAATTATTGCAGATTTTTCAAAATATTCCATATTCACCACGTGGGTCTGGAGAGAGTGATTTTCATCTTTCACCAAATTCTTCACCTGGAATAACAAATTCATGAATTCTACATTGATTATTGTAATAAATCAATAAACATAACTCCTAATATACTTTAATGTTCATTTTATCAAATTAATTAATGATGTAACTGTTTTACAACATTAAAAGATCAAAATCATCAATGATGAATCAGAGTCTCAGGAGTACTCATGATTGGACAGCATAAATGAGTATGCACTCATTCTAGAAGTCTCTATTCTGAAGAATCACTTTTATTTCTGTAGATTTGTTTTCTTATAAAATTTTTTCTATTCCTGATTTTTAATCAAATTTAGATAAATGTAAAAGATATATAGCATTTTGAAACAAAATCCAAAAACATAGTTATTTCCTAGTTCCTTCAGTTCTACGTTACAATTTGATTTCTTTTAAATAATAA